CTAGGGTTGGGACCAAAACCCAAGCCAATAATAAAATGAGAAGGGGGATGGGTAAACTTTGGGCTGGGTCCCCAAATGTTTAACCAGGCAGTGAAGCCAAGTAAAAATGGCCTGTCATGGTGTTTACTGGCCTCCACAACACAGTCCCACTCCAAGTGTCCACCTGATCTCAGAGCGTCCCACCCACACCTCCCAGCGGGGCCCCCCTCACACACACACACATAAACATCCACTTCTGCACGTTCACTCACACCCACCCTGCTCCTCTCAAACCCCCTCCCCGGTCTCTGCTTATTGGAAGCTCTGAGAGGACAGGAATTTTTGTCATATTGTTCATTACCAGAAGAGACACTCAATAAATAATTGCTTAATATCACATCCTCCATAATGCCTGTTTTTGTGTTCTAAGTCAGCACCAATCATTCCCTATTCCCCATCCCCAGAGCATTCTTTTTGGGCCTTCTACCTCCATTCTAGTGCTTCCTTGGCCCTGTACAATCTTTGTGTGTGTTTCTGTCCTGACCACTACAGTTAGACCTCACGAGGGTAGCAAGACGTCTTTATCATCTTTGCAGCTCTGTGGTGTCTAGCTTGTGTTTTGTGCTCAGTGACACTCCACTCAATAAGCAGGGTTCAGTCTGACTGAATGAAATGCCTTATGGTGTTAAGCTTCTTTCCTGTTGATGTGAAATTATCAGCTCCGTCTTATACTTGTTTGGCCTAGCACAGAGAATCGTGCAGACTCTCCGCACATTTGGGTTGACTTGTTGATTGTTAGAGTTCTAGACCAAGCTGGATGGTCAGGCTCAGAGTTATTCCATTTCTCTTTCTTCCTCACTGCATGCCTGCACCTGATACTCCCTGAAAGATAACATATAGTCATTTTTTGCCTCCTTAGACCAAAACCTCCATCTGCTCGCTCATCTCCCTGATGCCTGTGTTATCTCCTCCCACCCCCACCCCCCAACTCATCCATACCCTTTTAATCAGTTCCTTTTGTGTTTCTGGAATCCAGAGCGTGTGTGTCCTTCCACGATTCCCATGGTAACCAAATTCTTTGTTCGGAATACTGAGCTCTGACGTTGGGTGAGATAAAATACAGTGCTCTGGAGGAGGGCTTCTTTGAAGATGGAGACTTAGAGACTTGTTAACAGGCTTACAAAAATAATGTATAGACCTCATATTTCTTTCCTTTGAGGAGCTCATAGCACTTTACGAGCATCCTTAACCCCCACTCAGATGTGCTTGTGAATCTGGGGAGCTATGGGTGCTGTGTGGTTGTCCTCCGTGTATGGCTTGGAAGCTCAACAGGGGGAGTGAGGTAGCTTGTCCGTGAACACGACTGAGGCAGCCAGGTCTGGGCTTCCTTAATATATTAGGGCTGTGGGCCTGGGAGGGTTTGGTTTTATGGCTTGTTTCTGTGGTTCTCGGATCCAGGTTAGGGTGAGTTTGTTCAATTTGCAGTGAAGAGGACACACATGTCTGTTCCATAGCCCACCCAACTCTGCTTGTTTTCTAGTAGAATGTTTCCATGATGAAGCCATAGGGAAATCTGTATCCTCATTACCAGCTTCTCAGTCAGCCTGGGAATAATATAAAAAGTTTTTTTTTTTTTTCCAGTAATGAATTTAAGAATCCCCGAATGATGACCTTCTCCGTATCACTCTCTGCCAGGTCTCCTTGTACTTCTCAGACACCTCCTTCTCAGTGGCCCCTGCCAAGTCTCTGCCTCTACCCACCACTTGGGGACTAGGATTCTCAAGAGCAACCTATTGACCCTCTGTTTACTTGCCGTCAAGGCGTTGTCTCCTTCCTGCCATGATTATAGCCAGTACCTATCACTGGTGACTCCCAAATATCTGTCACTAGACCCATCTCTTTCCCAAATCAAGATCTCTGACTCCAGTTCTTTCCCAAGTCTAAGGAGATTTTCACAGTACCCAACACACAGTTAGGTACACAATAATTGTTGCATGGGTGTATTTCATAGAGGCACCTTCTTATCAACACGCCCATAAACCAAATTATTAACCCTCCACACCCCTCCTTTCCAAAGTGACTCTTCAGCCTAGAATCCCTCTTCTGTTAGTGGCATCAGTTTCCATCCAGAGATTTAACTAGAAGCCTGAAAAATCTTTGACTCTCCCCTCTCCTTGATCTCCTCTCCACATCCAGTCACCTCTCAAATTTGCCTTTATTCAGGCCTTTGTCATCTCACACTTGGCTGTTCCTGGCCTCCAGTGACTCCATTTCCCTCATCCCTCCACTGCCACCAGAGGGCTCTCTCCAAAATGCAGTCTGATCATGTCGGGCCCTTACCTTAAAATCCCTTTGAAAGTCCAGCTTCGCGTCTAGGATCAGGTTCAAAGTCCTTAGTATGGCATTCAATGCCCTTCCCAATGTGGCTCCCGTCAATCCACTTTTCCTGTTTGAATTCCTACCACTGTCCCCTTATTATGTGCTTCAGATCTCATATAAATGAGTGAGTATGGAGGCAGATCTATCAACCTGAAGACAGTAACTTGAACTGTTTATCCCAGAATTGTTCGTTTAGCCAAAGGGTCTAATAAGTGTCAGGCACTGTGTTAGGTGCACAGGATACAACAGTGGACAAAAGTGACAAAGATCCCTGCCCTCATGGGGCCTATATTCTACTAGGGGACTCAGACCATAAACAGTGAGCACAATCAATAAATTATATAGTTGTTAGAAGGTGATAAGTACTGTTAAAAAAAGAAAGAAAAAGTAAGACAAAGGAAGAAGAACAGGGCTGTGGTGTAGGGTTACAAGGTTAAATAGAGATTTGAGAGTAGGCCTAATTGAGAAGGTGATATTGTTCATTGAGCCAGTCCTTTATTATTAGGCTCTCTTCCAGGGTTCATGGTAATACCTTAGATTACTATCATGTTCCTCAAGGAATTGAATGGCTGTTCTGAGCAAACTGCAAAGGAACAATAATAGCTCCTGTTGGTTGTGAGCTCACTGTGTGACAGGCACTGGGCTGAGCAGTTTGCACAGTCTTTTCTCTTCAGTCTTTACAGCAGCCTTCTGAGATTGGTGCTCTCATCCCTATTTAACAGATGAAGGACCTGCAGATTAGAGAAATTAAAGCATTTACCCAAGACCATGAGCTAGAGAGTGGCAGAGGGAGGATTTGAGCACATACCCAGCCATTTGCCTCCAACTGATGACTGAAGATATTTGAGGACCACTGCTTTGAATGTTTCCAAAAACCAGTAGCTTAAAGAGCCAGCGTCATCCATTTTCAAAGAGAACAGTTTAGTGTTGCAGCAGGAGAGGAGGCTGCAGAAAGCACGCAACACCTGCTCCCACATCCAGCATCTGGTCTGTTTCAGACAGGTGGTTCTCAATCTATAGACATTCTTTGAAAATAATTCCAGTGTCGTGCAGGCTTTTATTGCCAGAATAATCCTTCCTTAGCGTTCATTCTCTCTCTGCTAATCCAGTTTCCTCTCATTTGAGCTTCAGTGAAGCTAGAATTCAACTTTCTTCATCTGCCTTATAATCTTTGGTAAACTTGAAGAACCAAGCCCCCTCTGTTCCAAATTGGTCTCAGCTCTGTCCGTGTTCTGTAGCTATTGTCTAGACATTAGAGTAATCAGTCCCTTAGAGATGAAATCCTGGGTGTTTTCACATCAATAACCCTGTAATCAATGTGCTGAATGCTTGCTGAGCATGACTAACCACTTATAAAAGAGCAAAGGCTGACTCAGAGGACCCCACCAAAAATAACGCATTTGGCCTAATCTTGGCCTGGTACAGACTTTTGAGTCATAAAGCTCATTAGAAATGGGGATGTGTTCAACTCTAATAAAGATTTTAGTGCAACCCAGATTCGGAGTGGTATATTTAGGGTAGGCCACAGGATGGATTTTGGAGTGTAGGCAGATGACGTAAGGAGCGAATAATTATCTCAAAAAGACAAGCTGTATTGCTTCTCTGTCCCCACCTCTGCCACCAAGAGAAAAGCCTGATTTAGGAAAAGTCTCTTTACTTACTAGAAAAAGACGGCTTTCATGATCTGAGCAGAAGAGGGGATTTATTAGAAGTGATTTCTTTATTTGGGGCATGTTAAAAGCTTGCCTAGGGGCCCTCCCAAGACCTCCTCGGGTCCCTGCCTTTGGTAGCTCTGTTTGTTAACAAAGCTGCTACTTGTCACTGCTGTGATGTGCTCGCTTATTAAAACTGCTCTGCTGTGGGAGGAACGTTAGCTGCAGCTCCACCCTGACACCCCTTTATCCCCTTCCTTCCCCAGCTGGAGACAGGGGCAGAGAAGAGGAGCGGCTGGGCCCGTAGAGGGAGCTAGAGAAAAGCGTCAAGGCATCTCTACGGGAAATTTCAGAGAGGAAAGGAAAGCTCACATTTAGTACATGACTACTGTTTCAGGCTCTGCATTAGCGTTTTTCACATCCATTATTGTATTTAATGCTCATAACAACTTTGGAGGAAAAAGAAAACATATCCCATTTTTACAAATAAAGATCTGAGGGTCAGAGAGGTCAAATCCATCCATCTAGGAAGTGACAGATCCGCACTCTTACCACTATAGGATGCTTGTCATGATAAGAGTGGTGAGTGACTTCCCCTCCCTCTCGGAGACCATGTCCTTTCTTTTATTTATTTATTTATTTTTGTGTGTCTGTGAGGAAGATCAGTCCTGAGCTAACATCCATGCCAATCCTCCTCTTTTTGCTGAGGAAGACCGGCCTTGAGTTAACATCTATTGCCAATCCTCCTCCTTTTTTTTCCCCTTTTTCTCCCCAAAGCCCCAGTAGATAGTTGTATGTCATAGCTGCACATCCTTCTAGTTGCTGTATGTGGGACGCAGCCTCAGCATGGCTGGAGAAGCGGTGCGTCGGTGCGCGCCCGGGATCCAAACCTGGGCCACCAGTAGCAGAGCAGGCGCACTTAACCGCTAAGCCACGGGGCCGGCCCCACCATGTCCTTTCTTAACCATCCCCTTGCTCTTGTACCCTCAGGCAGTTTGGTGGATACGCCAAGGAAGCTGACTATGTAGCTCATGCTGCCCAGCTGCGTACCGCCCTGGAGGGCACAGCCACTTACCGGAATGACATCTACTTCTGTGCTGGGTATGACCCTCCCATGAAGCCCTACGGACGTCGCAATGAGATCTGGCTGGTGAAGACATGAGTGGTTCACTGAGCCAGAAACTTCCTGGGTGTGTGCTTCTGTGTCCACTTACTCGGGGGGCAGGAGGGAGCAATGCTTCCACTGTAACTCCCACTTAACCAACTTTCCTTCAAAACCAATTACTGCCAATGATCTGAAATAAGCGTATTCTATATACTGAGGCTCTTTTTCTCATGGTGGGAAATAGTTCAGCGAAGATCGGCAGCATTTCTCTAATTGATTTAGAAAATTCTGTGGTAGACCAGAAACACCCCAGGAGCATTTTCCCGGCTATCTGGTCACTAAAAACTGATTTTTTAAAATTGTTGAATCTGTCTTTTTGGTATTGAGGGGAAAATGTAATTTGTGCATGATCTTTCATCTGTAATTCTTATAAGAACTTTGTCTACAAAGAAACCAAAAATAAAGATCTTCAACTAAAACAGCTGAGACCGATCCTAAGTATAATTATTTCAAGCTTCTACAGTCTTGTAGATAATATAGTTATGAGTACTACTGGTGGTGTTTACTGTTGCAGGAATCCTATATTTAGAGTTCCAGAGTCCTTCAGAATGTAAACCCAAAGATCCCTGGAGGAGGACATGATCACGTGCTGGAACATCTCTTAAGTCACAGACATTGACCGTGACTGTGTCGTAGGGTTTCCACCATCATAAGCTGAGGATTGTATTTGCAGCTGTGGTCCACGAAGTGTTCCAGGAGTCACAGAAGGAGACTGAGGAGAAAAATCATCATACTCCTGGAGGCTGGAAATTTGCCTGGAGGATTTATTCAGGGTGATGAGATGAGATGAGAAAAAGCTGGGATCCAGTTTTATTAACTGAGGAGGATAGAAATGAAAGAAACAACGTGCAGCTTGGCCTGCAGAAGGAAAGGGGACCCGACGCTGTGAGGGGGCTGGGGGAGAGCAGCTGAGCTGGAACAGAGTGGGTGGGTGAGCGCGCGAGTGTGGAAGAGCCTGGCGGGTCACAGGGCATGGGGAAGGCATGCAGATTCCCCTAGGATGCATCAGGGCCCGGCCCTGTCAACAGCCCTCCCTGCGACAGCTGGAAAGGTTGTCCAGAGAAACCCACCTCAGCACCCATCTACCGACTACTACGTGAGTAGTGAGGGCTCCATGGGGTGCTCATGAGGGAAGAAACAGAAAAATGAGCTTTAATCCTCACCATGAAAGGTTCTCATTGGACATAAAGTGGGTTTGCTAAAGAGAGGAACGAGAGCTATGTCCTCACCTTCCTGGCGGCCATTCAGAACAGCAGTCTCTTCTGAGGGACAGGCCATACCTGTTTCTGAAGATCAGTGGGAAACCACACCGGCTGTCAGACACCATGCTGGGCGCCGTACATGCACCCCCATGTACTCCATGTACACACTCTACGAGGGAGGTACTGTCGTGATCCCCACACACAGATGAGGGGCTGAGGGTCCCCCAGGCTCACACACTGTGCAGCCACAGGGGCCTTAGGTCACGTCAAGGAGTTTGAATTTTATCCTCAGAAAAATGATGAGTGGCTTTGAGCAGGAACATGATACCATCATGTTTAAGAAGGGAAATTCTGTCCTCAGTGTGGGAAGTGGATTGGAAGGGAATGTGACTGGAGGCAGGGAGACCAGTCACAAGACTCTAAGTAAAAGATGATGGAGACCTAAACCGTGATTCTGGCAGTGGGGTGGGGAGAAGTGGACAGTTTGGAGAGAAATAGGATCAATAGGATGAGATGATCAACAGGTGAGTAAGATAAGGAAGAAGGGCTTAAGTACAACATCCAGGATTTTGGCTTGGGCAGAGGGGTGGATGGGGCTGCCACCATCTGAGTAGAGAGAACAGGTGAGGAGCAGGGTGACTGGGGAGTAGTGTATTTAGGCCCGTGGAGCATCCAAGTGAAGCTATCTCATGGACAGTTGGAAGTATGAGTCTGATGCTAAAAAGAGAAACCTAACCTGGAGATGTATATGTGGATGTCATCAATATATAGCTGGGGTGGGGGCCGGCCCGGTGGCGTAGCGGTTAAGCGCACGCGCTTCGCTGCAGCGGCCTGGGGTTCGCAGGTTCGGATCCCGAGCATGCACCGACGCGTCGCTTGTCAAGCCATGCTGTGGCGGCGTTCCATATAAAGTAGAGGAAGATGGGCACGGTTGTTGTTAGCCCAGGGCCAGTCTTCCTCAGCAAAAAGAGGAAGATTGGCATCAGATGTTAGCTCAGGGCTGATCTTCCTCACAAAAAAAAAAAAAGAAAAGAAAATCTAAAAAAAAAAAAAGAGCTCAAAAAATATATAGTTGGGGTGGATGAATTCTGAACTCTCCCAGGAAAAGGCTGTGGAGTAAAGAGAGAAGAGAACCTAGGTGAGAATCCAGAAGAACCCTAATATTTAGAGAAGAACTGAGGAAAAGAGCCTGACAAAGATCCAAAAGACATGGCCAGTGGTATAGGAGGAAAATCAGAAAGGAAGGGTGACCAGCGAGTGTTAAGTCCTGAATGCTCTTGAGTCCATCCCCGCTGGTACCATCCTAGGACACGTCACCACCCTTCTTCCCTGGACTCCTGCAGCGGCCTCCTAACTGGTCTCCACATCTCTACTCTAAGTCCCTTTGGTCCATTTCTATACAACATCCAGAGGGATGTTTACTTAAAAACTCTCGCTTTGCCCTTAGACTAAAACGCAAACTCCATTTCATGACCTGCCAGGCCTTAAGTTATTTGGCCCCTGACCACTTCTCCAATTCGTTTATTTCCAATCTGACGCTTACTATGCTCCAGCCACAGTGAATTTTACTTCCTTGAACACGCTAAGCTCTTTTTTGCCCTTGAACAAGCTGTTATGTCTGCCTGAAACGCTTTTTTTTTTTTTTTTTACCTCTTTTTCAAATGGCTGGGTCTTCTCATCCTATGGGTCCTAACTTAATCCCCTCCTCCTCAAAAGGGTCTTCAATGACCCCTCTGTGTAAAGTAGGCCCCCCCATAGTTCTCTATCATAGCATTGTATTTTTGTTTTCCTTCATAATACCACCATTTGTGATATTTGGACTTATCCGTTTCCTTCTTTTCTGTCTCTCACACTTGATTATACATTGGCTAAGAAGAAGGCCCATACCTGCTTTGTTCTCCATTATATCTCCAGCACCTAGTTCAGAGTCATATATCATTTAGGAATGAATTAAGCTGTAAGTAACAGAAAACTGAACCAAAGTAGTTTAAACTAGAAAGGTTTTATTTTCTCACATAGCAAGAAATCTAGAGATAGGTTGAGTGGCTCAATGCTTACATCTCTGCCCTTTCCTTGCTCTTTCCCTCATGGCTGCAAGATGGCTGGTGTAGCTCCTGCCATCTCATCCGTGTTCAAGGCAGGAAAAAGAATAGAGGAGAAAAGACTGTATCAGTTGCCTCTGTCCCATTGTATGAGGAAACAGAATTTTCCCAGAAGTTTCCCCAGCAAATTTCCACTTTTATATCTAATGGGCCAGAACTGACACACCGAGTCACCCATACCTGCAACAGAGATGGGGAAAGTGTGTGTGTTTGGCTTTCCAGCCTCTATAGTAGGGAGCAGCACCAGAGAATGATACTCACAATGGCTTTGGGGTAGCTAAACTACAGGGTTTTCTGCAAGGGGACAGTGAGTGGGCATATTTACCTGGAGTCAAGAGTTGGGAAGGTGAGAAGTGGGAGACACTGGAGAGATGGGCTGAGGCCAGACTGCAGGAGCTCTTAAAGGTTTTAGTTCTACATTCTCACTTCTGATGCAATGCGCATGGCCCAGGAGCACTTTGCTGCCTCCCCTCCCAGTGTCTTCTGCTTCCTCCATCTCTCCTGTCTCCCCCTTTCAAAACCGAAAACAGTGGAGCATCGTCAAGATGAAGGAGACAGTGGTTTTCAGCCCCCTACCCCACAGTGAGGATATAGGGGTGACTAGATGATGGTGATACAGTGAATTAAGAGAGAAGAAGGATAGGAGGCAAGAAAATGAAATGTTTATCCTCATTCTGGATTTAATAATGAAAAACAGAACCCAGAGACCAAGGTTTCTAATTGCCAATCTATGGACTAGTAAAGCAATCTTTTTTCCGGACTCTCACGAGCTCTCTTGTCTCTATCTTTGCCAAAATAGAAGTTGATGAAAAGACCCTCTGGCCCCATCTCACCCTGCCTTTCCCTACGGTCTGGAGTAGAGCAATGGCCAATATTTTAGAATGTTGTATAATTAAGTTGGAAAACAGCAGAGTAAGACAGTAACAAATATCCAAACTATGCTCTAGGTTTAATGCTCAGGATCAGAGCCTTAAGGCGGCAGCCTCTCTGGAACTGCATATATAAGGATGCTCTGCCTTCCGCCAGAAGCTGTCTTTCTGTGGCATTCATATCCTTGTATGTTTTATGAGCACCAGCCAGGAAACTTTGTCCTGCATGTACCACAGCACAACACCACACTCTCCTGCTCCTGTGAGTGCTCCAGGGCCGCCGGGCAATTGTGGATGTAAATAGAGTGGAATACTGGGCTGAGCTCAGGGAGTTGGTCATCCCTTGTTTAAGGAAGACCTGCTTCATTTACATTTGGCTTCTCCACTCTTGAGTAATGTTACTTTGATCTTGTGCACAGTTATTAAAGCTTCATAGCATGCCACATCGATGGGTATGTATTTGGTTGAATGCCATGGATTTTGCCTTTGAATTTATCTTCTTGATCAGCTGTAAGATTTTTCTTTAGACATATTTTTGTTTCTATAGCAACCATCATTCCATAGAAATTTGGAGACAGACCCAAGCAATATCCACAAATGCAGAATCAAGAATCAATCCGTGTAAGGTGGAAATGACTGAAAGTATGGCAAAAATTGGTGTGGGCCGTGTAAAGGTAGCTCATAAACAAACTTCAGGTAAAACTTCAATTAAGTTTTCCTTGGCAATGAATTAATTAGATGCTCATCAAAAAGTCATTTTTATATTTTAATAAATGAGCCAGCCTCTTCTCATATCACGCCTCTTCCTCTCTCCTGGGTTCCTTATCCTCTAGTAGCACAGGATAAATGCTAGTTCCCCTAAGGTGCTCCCCACTTCCCCCCATCCATGCCTTGCCCACACTGCCCCCACACCTAGAACCTCTCTATCCGTCCTCTACCCATCCTTCCAGTCCCCCTCAAGAGTCTTTGAATTCCTCCCTGATCCCTCCAGTTACACCCCTCCTCCTTTGTGATTTATGGTCCCCATGTCACCCATAGCATAAGGATATGTGCACAATAGATGCTCAGTCTTGTTAATGTAGATTAGTTTGAATTTTTAAAAATAAATGCTATTGATAGCTAACATTTATTGAGCATTCCCCAAGTCCCAGGCACTACACAGACTCGTTACAGGAATGACCTTATTTCTTGGACACAACCACCCTATGAGTTAGCCACAGGCACTGTCATCTCTACCCCATTTACAGACAAACTAGGACAGCTCAGAGAAGTTCATTAACATGTTCCAGGCTACACAGACAGTACCTGACAGAGCCGGAATTGGAACTCAGGCAGTTTAGCTCCAGGACCAAGTTCTACTAAACACTCAGTTCAGTGTCTGGTTTCCTTGTCTGGCAAGAAAGGAAATGAGGCAGAATGTGACTCTACAAGTGAGGACACTGGGTGGATGCTCCCTCCTCCTGTATAATGTATTTCGCAGCTCAGCCAGAGTGGCAATGATATAATCCCTGTGTCCCTAGGGTATATGCCACTGCCTGGAATTTAGATGAACAAACGCGATGAACTTAAAACTCCAGAAACAACCCAGATAGCCAGCAGCAACCTATCTGCCACCTGTCAAATCAGCAGCCCTGTCTGCCTTCTCTCCCTCTCCCTCTGTAGATTAAAATTCAGCTAAAAGAAGTTCTTATGCCACCAATATAAACACAGGACTCTTACCCCTCCTTAAATAATGTCTGTGACATACTTCTGAGTATGTAAGGCATGTCTGTAATCGCGTTCTCTCCACTCTCATTTTAGAGTTCTTCCTTACGGGCTACCAGGTTGTGGGTTCATGCAGGGTGCTTGCCGTGTGAGCAGAGTGTGTTTTATGAAAGGGAGGGGGGGCTAGGGGAGTTGTGGAAGTCGATTTTAATTCCTAAGAGAAGAGGCTTCATGGTCATTAGAGAACACCATCCTTGAATCCTTCCATCTCTCTGAGGATAAGGTGTCCCGCCTTCCATCCAAGGTTAATCCTGTCACGTGTGCTGGGGGCCATCTCTCTCACTTGCTTAGGATTTCTAGTCTATTTTACTCCGTCCTTGAGATTTCAATCTCTCCCTCTTCCCTGGCTCTTTCCTCTTGACATATAATCATGCTTGCGCTCTCCAATTAAAACAACAACAAAAAACTTCCTTCAATCCTATCCTGCTTTCCAGGTACCATCTCAGTTCTCTCATTTCCTCCACAAATTGCCTTACAAATGACTTTATACACAAAGTGTTCGTTTCCTTTCCTCTCGTTCACTCCACTCATAGGCATTTACTTGCTCTGAAATCGATCTTCATTTGCAAAGTCCAGCACGTGCATTTCGGTCTTTTTCAGGTCAGACGGCTCCTCTGTACCATTTGACACTGAGACCTCTCCTCCTCCCTTTCGTTACCCCTTTGGCATCTGTGACCTGTCATTCTCCAGGTGCACCTACCTCAGACTACTCTCCTACTTCCTTCATAGGCTTCTCTCTCCACGCCCAGCCCTTACATGTTGGTGTTCTCCAGGGGGATATACTCTATCCTCGTATTGCCGTATCACGTCCCTCTTCACACTCTCCCAAGATGAGCCCATCCGTGACGATGCAGATCCCGCCCATGGGTTCTGTGACCATTTGTCTCCTGGTGACTCCCAAGTATTCATTTCCATCCCATCTCTCTTCCTGACTTGATTTTTTAATGCATCCCATCTCCTTTCAAAATGTGACCCTCAGGCATGTGGAAGTAAGAAATGGGTCCATTGCAGAGACATGCACTGAATAGTCCCTCTCTTAGTGACACAAAGGCATAAAAAAAGCTTTGAAATAATCACTTGTACAGAGTCATAAGGAATTGATAAGATCCACCCTCTTTGGCAGATCTCTTTCTGGTAGGAAGGGTGGTGGAAATATTAATTTATTCTTCAAGTTACACATACCTCGGAATGCATAAATCTCAAGTATTTGTCAGCATATCTCACCCATTAGAAATGATTTTCTTGAGTGCTGATATTTAGTATTTTTCATTTTTGTACTCTCAGCACCCAGCAGAATACCAGTACAATAGCAAAAGCTCAGTGTGTGATTGTGAGATGAATAAATGAGTGAATGTGTTTCCCGATTCACTCATCTGCTGAAAGAAAGCTAGGAAATGAGGATGGAGAGGGTAGCCTGTCTCCCTGTATGCCATCCAGCTTGGTACATGTCTATGATGCCAACAGGAACTTGGCACATAATAAAAAGTACAAAAAGGCAGAAATAAATCTATAAGTTCCAGATGCATATATCCAACGACCTACTTGGTATATTCACACAAGTAATTCACAGATATCTCAGACTTGGCATGTCCAGACTGAACTCTTGGTTCAGACTCTTCCATTTCCCAAAACCTTTTCCTCCCTCAATCTTCCTCATCTCTCCAAATAGCACCACCATTCACCTACTTGGTCAAGTCAAAACACTGGAAATCATCCTGTGAAGAGACGAATCTCCCTTATTTGCTAGATGATACTCAGGCCCCCTATATGGGCAGCTATCATCTGAGATCTGAATGTTCCTCTTGCCAACAAGGCCGTTCCTCTTGCCAACAAGGCCATTCCTCTTGCGAAGTCCCCATTTTAACTTGATCAGTTGGCCAGGTGTTTCTTGTCTCCTCACAACTTCTCTTACAGAAAATGGAGGGGTGGGTGGGGAAGAGTGGGGCCCCTCTCCTGGAGCACAAACCCACAGTGCCTCCAGCCCTGGCCAGCCCAGAGTGAGAGTTTGGGCGACCACATGCACTGTGCTGACCCTCTGCCTCTAAGTCTTCCCTGTTAACCATGCGTTAGCCTCTGCTTGTTGTTTGTGGTATTTGGCTCCACTTTCTGGCTTAACATGTTCTCGATTCCTTCTCATCACTCATTCATTTCACAAATATTTACCGAGCCCCTACCATTTGCCAAGAGCTGTTCTGGGTAATGAGATTTATCAGTGAACAAAACAAAGACCTTGCCCTTGTAGAGTAGGGGATAGAGATAAGAAAAAAAAGACATCATAAATCACTTATTACATTATATTTTAGAAAGTAATAAATGCTATCGCAAAATTAAAAAGTAGAGCAGGACAAGAAAATGGGCAGTGTTAGGGAGTACAGGGTGGGGAGGGTGGTGTGAAGTTTGTACTAGTGTGGTCAGGGAAGGCCTCCTAGAGAACACAGACTTGAAAGCAGTGAGTGAGTTAGCCATGTGAATATCTGGGGAAGTACATTCTAGGCAGAGGAAATGGCCGGTGCAAAGTCCCTAAGACAAGGTGAGCCTGTGTGACTGAGGAACAGGTCAGAGAGGCTGAAACAGTGTGAGCAAAGGATGAGGTCAGAGAGGTAATGGGAAGGGCAAGGTCATTTAAATCCTCAGAGGCCACTTTAAAGACTTTGGCTTTTCCTCTGTATAGAATGGAGAAGGTCATTGCAGGATTTTAAGCAGAAGAGTGACATAATCAAACTCAACTTTTAAAAGGATCCCTCTTGGGCTGGCCCGGTGGCGCAAGCAGTTAAGTGTGCACGCTCCGCTGCGGCGGCCCGGGGTTCGCCGGTTCGGATCCTGGGCGTGCACCGATGCACCACTTTTCGGGCCATGCTGTGGCGGCGTCCCATATAAAGTGGAGGAAGATGGGCATGGATGTTAGTCCAGGGCCAGTCTTCCTCAGCAAAAAAGAGGAGGATTGGCAGATGTTAGCTCAGGGCCGATCTTCCTCACAAAAAAATAAATAAATAAAAATAAATAAAAGGATCCGTCTGGCTGCTGTATTGGTTATATACTGTAAGAGGCACAGGGTTGGGGTTGGGGGACAAGAGCAGAAGCAGATGGCCAGTTAGGAGTCTGCTGCAGCAACGCAGACGAGACATGACAAATGGGGCATTGAAGCCGTGAGAAGTGAGCAGTCTGTATATCTTTTCAAGGTAGAACCAGCAGGATTTCCTGTTAGACCTAATATGGGGCGTGGGAGAAAGAGAAAAGTCAAGATGACTCCAAGATTTTTCATTTGAGCCACTAGAAGGATGGATTAACTATAAACTGAGATGTGGAAGGCTGCGATGGAGCAGGTTTGGGAGTATCAGGAGCCCAGTTTCCCGTCATCTCTGTCTCCCAACTACCAGCAGGACAGAGATTCCACTTCCAAAGTGTCTCTTGAATCTTACTGGCTCTCTCCATCACCCCCACCCGACCCTATGAAACTAATAGCCGCCGTCACGTCTCACCCTGGACTCTTGAGATGGCCTCCTGCTTTCTATCCTGATCCTCTCTAATCCGTTCTCAAATGCTCGTCTTCCTTAGTAGGTTAGACACTCTGCAGCCAGACTGATCTGTTCACAACACAATCGATCCGTGCAGTGGTTTCCTGTTGCATCAGACTCCACTCCCTGGGTCTCAAGTGCCTGTACCCTCTGATGCCCGCCTCCTCCTCCACTCTCATCCTTTGCTACTCCCCTCCTTGCTGCAGACACAGTGGCCCTCTTTCAATATCTCACACACACCACACTCGCTGGCACTTTCAGGCTCCTGCTCATTTTGACCTTTCTGCCTGGAATGCTCTTCCTCCCGAGCTGCACCGGTGTGGCTCGCTCTTTCCCACCCTCTGGGGCTCTGCTTAAATGTTGTCTTCTCGGAGCATCCCTCCTAACCCACCCTAACAGAGGCAAACTCACTCCTTTATTCTTTATCACAGCATCTTTTATAGTACCGTCCACAATCAGTAAAAATATATATTTTTTATTTGCTGTTGTAATGGCTGCTCTCACACTAAACTGTAAGCTCATGGAGGGCGAGAAACATGTCTGTTTTGTTTGCCACTATATCCCTAGCATTTGGTACAAGAAACAGCTATAGATGCTCCATAACGAAGTGCTGGATAAGTGAATAAATGAATTATATTAAATGCGATGCAGTATAAAGGTTAAATACAATAAATAAAATGACATCCATACTCCTTAAAACGCAAGAGCCTGGGACCCTCCTCCTCCTCTCTCACCCATTCGTGCCCCCGCCACACCCACCTACTTGCCATTCCTCACCTCGGCCGTTGTGCGGGCCCTTTCCTCTGTCTGGGCCACTCTTACCCCTCGTTCCACAAAGCTTAACTCAGCTTAGACATCTCTTCCTCTGACGGGTCTTCTCTGACCCCGTCTCTGGTGTACCCACAGATCATCTACTGAATACCTCCTGGTGTTTTCATTTCCTGTTTCCCCTCCACCCACGCTGGTCTGTAAGCAACTTGAACACAGGTAACGGGCCCTAAGTCTCCTTAGCTGTGACACCTCAAGCACAAGCACAGTAGTGGCACAAAATAGATGCTCAAAAAAAAGTCATGAGAAGAATAAACAAGCAAATGAATGAATTAATGCCAATATATATTTCTAGAGAGAAGTTCTAGAAGTAAACAAATGGACTACTTTGATACGTAGACCTAACATTTGATTTTGACATAATAGTTTGCATGTTGATAATTGGGGTATAAAAGCCCTTTAAAATTAGTGGTATTCCTAGGTTAAACAGTCTTCTTTAACCTTTGATATGGTTTATATCATCACTTTGCTTTCAAAACTCTTTAATTCAGCCCAGACCAAATTATCACAAAAATTATTGATGTTTTTCCTTTATGTAAATACACCCACAGGGAAGAGGAAACATTTATTTAAGCTCAGAGAGATCAAGAAACTTGCCCAAGGTCAGAGAGCTGGTTCATAGCTGATATCCAGACGCAAGTCAGAGTGGAGTCCAGTGCCCAACTGACGAGACTAGTAGTTTTCAAACTTTTTTTTTTACCCCAACCCACGGTCAGAAATACATTTTACGTATCAACCACACACATACATACTTTAGACAAATGTTTTATGAAATGATATTTCCCATTACTTCCAAAGATAAAGTGAAAGCAAAGCAGAGTTAACATTGCATATTATTTTATTGATATTTATATAGAATATAAAAATCCAAAATAAAAAATACAGAAACAAAAATTTACCCATGATTTTTATTTAATGAACAGATGTGCTTACCTGTTGGTAAATTCGTTCCAGTGGACGTGACATGAGGACAGAGCAACATGCACCTCTGGTGCTCTGCTGAACCTGGTCTTTCCCTTTCTAAATCCAATCAAACTTGAAAACCCTAAAAGTTCACCCAAATAGGTTGTTGTGGTTGGTAATATAGTAATACTCTCTATTTAGCACTGGAAATTTTTCTTTAATCTTAATGCAAAGAACAAACATCATGTCCTGTAATCATTCTTCAGCGTGAGAATTAAATGGAATCACTTATTCTCTTCTTTGTTCACCAAGTTTAATTCGATTATCGGTTCAGAATTTTGAAAAGCAAATAGATCTTTTATTCAAATGTTTTTCTTTCCAGCTTAAGATTTTCCTCTAAAAAGTAATGATTGTGACTTTGAGAGAAAAGTGATATGTAACAATACCTCTAATTTTATTTCATTCAAACTGATTTTATGATGTTCTCTTCTATGTGTTGCAATAATGTTGGGAACATACAGCAGCTAGAGTTATTTCATTTATAAGGAAAATGTAAAGCCTTTGGAATAAACATCCTTTCAACGAAATGCCAGTGCCTCTGGGGTTACCTGATCTATAGGAATGTGCGCATTTGGCTTTCACTAGGCTATTTTAGAACTCTGTAGAAATAAACTAACTTCTAGAAAACTCGTAGCAATGCAAATAATTCTTGCATATAGACATGTACATAAATTCTGTTCAGTGAAGATTCAGTTGAACAGCTGGAACAGGAGGATCCATTTCCCAGATGGCTTTTCCGTTCCCATGTCTGGTGCTTTAGCAAGAATGGCTGGAAGGCTGGGCTCAGTTGGTGCTGTTGACCAGAGAACCTATATGTGGCCTCTTTTGTAGCTTGGAATTCTCAGAGCACAGCAGCCGTGTCTCAGGAGAAAGCATCTGGAAACCAAGTATCCCAAGGGACCACAGCAGAAGCTGCAAGGCTTATTTTGACCTCGCCTCAGGATTCACACGGATCGCTTCCACCACGTCTCATTGGTTACAGCAGAGTCACTACGGCCAGCCGAGATTCAAGTGTTTGACATGTTAACACATATCATAATTTTCTCCCAAAATTATAGTTAGGAATGCCCCAAAATCAGTGAAATATGCACTTTTACTATCCAAATATCATGTCCAAAAACATTTGCCAAATGAGATAGTTTCTCAGTTCAAGAAATCTAAATCTTATTTCTGAGTTTATATATCGTACTTAGCTTAGTATTTTACCTTTAGCAACCAGAAATCCCACCATGTATAGTAGGCGGATATGGTCAGCTCCAACATTTGAGCAAAATATTTCTAAATGTTTTGCTCACTGGAATCTCATTTGATTTCAAAAGAATCCATGAGATTCAAGAAAAATTTCTTTAGGTGCCAAAGCTTTATGATGAATAAACAATGGTTGCTAGTCATTTTGAACAATTTCCAATAACTCTGCCATATTTTCTGGTCATATTTGTTGTTCAAGCTTGTAATTCCTTTATGATTTTTCCAGTTTAAATAACATTGAATCAACAATCTCCAACTCAGAATTGGAGACAACAATCTCCAACAAACTACAGCTCTATTAAATCTCCAACTCAGAGATTATATTTAATCCAGTTATGAGTGAAATTAAATTTAAACAACACAAAAAATCCTCTATAAAAATTGTCTTGTCACTCATATCTGATCTAACTAAAAGTGTTGGCAACTTCCAATATCAGTGCTTTTATCAAGTTGAATCACAAAATATATATCAGACTATAATTCTGTTAAAACATTACTTCTCTCTGTTCTGAAATAGTACAGATTTGATGAGATATTATGGTATACTAAGAGGTATAATTTTAAATTTATAAGCTGATTTATCATTTTAAATAATATGTATCATCAAAAATAATATGTACCATTCCATACATCCGGAAAAAGTAATTTTTAGTAGCTTTGTGATCCATTTTCTTTTTTGCCACCTGATATATTACTAAACAGATGATTGAAAGGCTCTTTCATTAATAGTAGTAGCTGACAACTTAGAAATTATTGGTAAATTTATGTATTCTTCTTTGGAAATATCTGAGAGATTTATTGACAGGATATCATGTTGTTTTCCCAGGTGCATTTTTAATTTTAAAGATTTTAAGTTTTCATCTATAAAAACTTTATTACAGGGCCGGCCCCGTGGCTTGGCGGTTAAGTGCCCGCGCTCCGCTACTGGC